GGGGTTTGGGTTAGGCTCGACCTGTGACAGATTCACAAACGTCCAGGACCTGAGAATGGGTACGTGACCCCATTGTTAGGTGTGTGTGTGTGGCTGGGGTGTGTGGGTGGGGGGTATTTCTTAAACACTGTACCGTCGTGGCCGAGCCGGCAGCTACACATCACTAGCGCCGTCAATCGCTGTACCAACCCACGGGGATGGCGACACAAAAAAAACGAGGGGGGGGGGGGTGTGGGATATGTGACCTACTGTAAGCTCCTTTGGTTAAAAAGTTGTTTTCATTTTTAATTGATGTTATACTTAAAAGTCTTTTAAAATATCTATCTGGAAAAAAAGGGGGAGGGGTGTGTTCTCATTTCCTAGCCCGGATTGCTTATCCAGGTAAAACGGGATGAAAACCACGCAACCCCGGGGACTTCGCCAATATGAAATACTGGTAGATGAAGAATTCTAAAAGTGAAATAAACAGTTCGTTTTTGCTAATAGGGTTAGTCCTTTATGGGCCAAACATTATTAACAGAACATCTGGGCGTACAGTCTGGTCAGTTTCATCAAGCTATTAATAAAAAAAACCCACAAAAATAAAAAACACCCTGGTATTCAGTTTGGCCCATCTCTCAACAGCTGTTCGGTACTTCTACGTTAATGAGTGAGCCGTCATTAGTGGGTCTTACCTAGACTAAAACCTTTCACAACCTTATAGTCAAACCCTAAAGTCTAGGGGTAACCAGACAACGGCCCGCGGACCAGATCCTGCCCGCGACGTCAGTTCGTCAAGCCCGCTGACGATATTTGAATTTTCTTGATGAAATGTAAAGAATCCCAAGACGTTATGATGCAATTTAAATTTTAAAAAGAAAATGATTATAAGACTAGGAGATCTTCACACGTGCGGAGACGTCCTGGCTGCTACGCGCCTCAAATTTACCATTTTCAATTTTAAATTATTGGATCTAGATTTTCTTGTTTAATTGCAAGTTCGTTTATTTAGCGCCATCCCATATCCTTTATGCTCGAACTACATTTGTAGCTCATTGATTTGCAAGCAAATGATTTGTTGGAATAGAAGCACAGAGAAGCAAGACACGTTTGATCGTTACCTCTGTTTACCTGATGTTGAGTTAACGAAACTCAATAACTTTACCGCTTTAATCGGTGTTTGGAACAACTTATGTCTGTGAGCAAATATTTTCAAAAAAATGAAGTATGTGAAGACACACATCGAACGAGATTGACTGATGAACATTTGAAAGCGATTCTCCTGATTGGATGCAGCAATTCCTAACCAAACATTAATGATATTGCTATTTAGACGTCTTGTTTACGCCTTGAAACCCGTGCGTGAACTCTAGGTGACCCCTAGTTCGGCGACAAATGGGTGTGGTTTAATTACAAATTGTTTCCCTTGAAATTGACTACACGTAAACACAGTCTATAGTCTTTAGAATTAGAATTCTTTAGAACTTACGAGACGGGTCGAGGCATGGATACAATGCCGAGCCTCTGTTTGGAAGAGTCTTTTAGAAAGACTATAAATACGCCGATTGATAAGGAGCGTGACTGAGCCACATTGAGACTGTTAGACAAAGAGAAAGAGAGACATAGTTTGCTATTACCATACTGTAGTGATCGTAGACTTGTATTTAAAAAAAAATATATTTATTGTGTGTGTATGCAACCTTTTTTTAAAAACTTTGTACCGGTACCAGCTCATTTCTGTACTTTAAAAGAATATCCTTTAGTTTTATTCTATTTGATTTTATATTGTAAAGTTAACTTGATAAATTATCATTTGTAACTAGACCTAGTGTGTGCATCGCTTCTGTATTACTGTATTTAATTAATGGTTGCGTACTTTGTGATGAACTGTTTATCACGAGCCATACAGTTAGATAAGAGATTACAAACTCTACACTTATTAACGGTGCGTACTTTTTGCTGCTTAGTTTGTGAGATTCAAATATCTTCGCATTAGTTCTGATGCAACTTTTTTTTTTCTTCTTTTTTTTTTTTTGCAAACGTCGTCTTATTTGAAAACTTTTTTAATAAATAAATATGTTGTTTGTCTTTTGCATTGCACGCCACTCACCCATGATTAACCTGGCAGACTAAACTTATTTTTTGCATTTTTTTTTTTTTTTCATTTTTGCCTCGAGCTTTCGTTCTGACTTGCAAATGTAAAAGAATGAGTATGCGGCCCGCGCCCGTCATTTTGTCAGCTATCTGGCCCCCGGTGAAAAACATGTGTGACCCCCCCCC